TACTACAAACCCTTTGCAAACACTTATAAACCTTTGTATATAAACAAAATCATCATGCTGTCTTATATTTCAGTGTCTGTTTTCCCCACTTAATAGATGAGTTTTCCCCAGCATGGGCCATATCCCAACCATGTCTTTATCTCCAGAACCCAGAACTAGAAAGCACTCAGATGTTTCATGAACAAATTACATATGCCATCAAAACGCCTGGATCTCTTTGCTTTAAACACATAACCAAATCATACAGATAAGGTTTTTTTGTGTGTGTTGTTTTGGTTTTGGTTTTAGTCCTGGAGATTGAACCAAGGGCCTTGCACATCAGATAAGACTTAGTCAATGTGTATTCTATCCAAGCAAATGGGTCTTGCTCCAAATAAGAACTGAAAGAATTTTTATAACCCAAACTTTACTAACAGACATATTGAACTCCAGAAATTTCAAAACAAAAGGCAGATAGGCTTTCCTAATCTTAATTCTCCTTTCAGTCTAGTACAGTCCAGGGCATTCAATAGTCTCACACTATTTTGGACCACTAAGGCTCCATCCCACACTAATTCTTCTTGCCATCAATTCACTCATTAGTTCACTAGTCTTATTGAACTGTAGCTCAGTACTGATTACAAAGAAGAATGTTTAATTTGTATTAGGTACAAAACAGTATGAGGTACGAATATAAACTAAGACAAGGAAATAAAAGATTCAAAGAGATAACAACAGTAGGGAATGACGTGCTGTAGGACCCTGTTCACTGGTAATATCTCAACTTGAAGTGAGAAGCATTCTAAGAAGCAATCTTTAAAAATTCACTACTGGACTGGAGCTGTGGCTCAAGTGGTAGAGTACCTGCCTAACAAGCATGAGGCCTTGAGTTCAATACCTAGTACACACCCACACACCACACCCACACACACACACACACACACACACACACACACAAACACACAAGGGTTCATAAAAACTAACCACTGAAGGTAGGTGCTGGTGGCTCAGCCTGTGGTCATAGCTACGTGGGTGGCTGAGACTAGGAGAATCACAGAATCACAGCCAGCTGAGGAAAAGTGCATTAGAACCCCATCTCAACCAACTGCTGGGCATGGTAATGCATGCTTGTCATTCCAGCTAGGCGGAACGCTGAGATTAGGAAAATGGAGGTTCCAGGCCAATCCCTGCAATAAAGCTCACAAAACCCAATCTCATCAGAAAAAAATCTGGTTGTGGTGGTGCACACCTGTCATCCCAGCAGGCCAATGTGAACAAAAAGTAAGACCCTATCACCAAAATGACCAGAAAAAAAAGGGCTGGAGGTATGGCTCAAATGGTAAAGCACCTATCAAGTGTGCAGTCCTAAGTTTAAACCCCAGTACCGCTAAAAAAAAGATAAAAATAAAAACTAACTACAATGCTCAGTGGTACAATGCTCACCTAGTATGTGCGAGGCCCTGGGATCGATCTCCAACATGGTAAAAACAAAACGAAACAAGACTCCTGAGGCAGGAGGATCACGGAGCTCAAGGCCAGCCTGGACTATATAGAAAGAACACCCATCACCAAAAAAAAAAAAAAAAAAAAAAAAAAACCACTTCACTACTGGATTAATCATTGGGATTTTCCCCACACACAAAACCACACTGTCCCCAGTATGTAGAACAGTGAGAGAACTGTACCAAGGTCTAACAGTCAAAACACTTGCAATTCTCTTCCACATGTTCAACTCATAGACACCTTGAATCTGGAAACTGAGCTCTTTGCTTCTTTGCTTTGCTCCAGGAAACTCAAGAACCAGATGTGGAATTTACCTTCAGAAACTGCAGAGTACTTTCTGGTCTGTGTACTAATCTTGCCACTAGTTTATTCTTATTCTTTTTCTCTCATTTCTTTTTTGTCTTAATTTCTTTATTTGTAATCTACTACACTGTACATATTGTGAAAAGAGGTGAGAAATATAAGGTATTTGATGGGTGGGTTTTGTTTTTGTTTTTTTAAACAAGGTCTGACCTTTGAACTCGAAATCCTCCTGCCTTAGACTCCTGAGTAGCTGGCATTATAGACACATGCCACTGAGTCTGGCTTGATGAGTGCTTTAACCTAAAACTTATTGTGTACAGAAATTTCTATGTGCCAGACTCTGTTCTAGGCATTTAATAACCCTAGCAGGGTTAAGCTATTATTATTTCTATTTTACAGATAAGAAACCTGAGGCTCAGAAAGGATTTTTTTTTTTTCCTTTGTGGTGCTGGGGATCAAACTTGAGGCCTCATGCATGCTAGACAAACCAATGTATGGGAAAAAATGCTATGAAATACATGACATATGAAATGTACTCAAAAATATTTATGGGGCTGGGGACATGCTCAAGTGGTAGAGTGCCTCCCTGACAACTGCAAGGCCCTGAGTTCAAACCCTAGTACTGTCAAAATAAAAGGAAAAAAAATCTATATTTATGGAGTAAATACTCTTCATTATTTTGCCACTGAGCCACATTCCCAGCCCTAACAAAGGCTTACTGCATATAACATTACAACTGCATTTGACAGAAGTGGATTCAAATTCAGCTGAAACCATCACACAGAAGGCTATTATGGGAAAAAATAAAGAAGAGCAGAGGAAGGAGAGGGTGGGGAAAGCCCTCATTGAGGATGTGATGTGTAAGCTAAGTTTTAAAGGGAGGAACATGTCAAGGAGAAAAGAGAAACTTGAGACAACACATGCAAAAACCTAAAGCAGAGAAAACGTAAGTTCTGGAAATGACAAACAGAATACAGTTATGTTCAACAATTTAGTCATCTTGAAGGGTTCAACAAAAAGTTGTGTCATTTAAAATTAAACATTTAATAGGCCCATCATTGAGAATTTCTATGGCCACAGTACTAACCTGTGGCTAGAAAGGTAGGTTCAGCTAAAAAGTCTGAATTATGTTCAGTAGCATGGGGAAACCACAGAAAATTCCTAAGCATTAGAATTAAATTATCGACTTGCACAGTGTGGTAAAGAAATTACAGGTTGGAGGTAGGGAACCAGTCAGGAGGCTATGATAAGAGTCTGGCAGTGGGATAACAAATATTAAACCAGGGCTGTCTAAAACAATACAATGCAAACAATATTTTGATTTTCTAGTACCTGTCATTAGAAAACATAAAAAGAAGTGAAAATAATTTTAGTGATATTAAAATTTATTTAGTGACATACACCTAAAATATTATTGTACTATATAATCATTAAAATTTGGAATCAGAAGTGTTATATTCATATTTCTCATACTAACTTGAAACCTAGTGTTTATTTTATACTTATCTCATTTTGAACACTAAATTTTCATTGAAAATAGTTGATAGCTATTTAGACTCCATAAATTTTATAGATCAAAGAACACATTCACATCTCCAAGGATGCTCAAGACATACTTAAAACATTTTCCAGTACGTGATCAGCCTGTTAAATTAATGAAAAATTCAGTTCTTCAGACACACCAGCCACATTCTGAATGCTCTGGAGCTATATGTGATTACAGTACTGAACAATATAGGCCTAAAGAGTGACAAAGGTGCTGGGTACCGGTGGCTCATACCTGTACCTAGTTACTTGGGAGGCTGAGATTGGGAGGATCACAGTTCAAGACCAGCAGGGCAAAAAGTTTGAGAGACCTCCCCTAACGCCCATATATTAAAAAAAAAAAATGAATTGGAGGTATGGCTCAAGTGGAAGAGCACCTGATTTGGAAGCATGAAGCTCAGAGTTGAAAACCCCAGTATCATTAAAAAAAAGTGACAAAGGTACTTCAGCTACTGGCACATCCACCATCACTATTTCATATCAACCTACTGTTGAGGATTTCTGTGTATTAACAGAGAAAACTTAACAGGTATTAACCATGAAAATAGACCTACTTACTGGTCATACCCTCACTACTGTAGCTTACTTTCTGTGGGCCAAGGCCAACATATGTAAAAAAGGAATCTTCAAAAGCCTGCACAGAATTGCTAAGTAGTACCCGACTCATGGAATGCCCGAGAATGAATATTCTTCGTTATTAAAAGAATAATTCACTTGTCTGTGGCCTACGTAAGCCCTTTATACTATCTCTTTTTCTAAGGCTCAACCATTTCAGTTTATGAGATTTTATGTGTAATGAAAAAAGAGAAAGCAGAAAGGGTTTTTTTGGTGGTACTGGGGTTTGAACTCAGGGTCTTGTGCTTGCTCGGCAGGCACTCCACCACTTGAGACACACACCCAGCCCTTTTTGCATTAGATAATTTTCAAGTAGGGTTCATCTTTTTTGCCCAGCTGGCCTAGCTAGCCATCCTACTTACACCAACCTCTCCCTCTTAGCTGGCATGACAGGTGCACATAACCACATCCAGCTTTTTTGTTGAGATAACTTTTTTTGGGCCTGGGCTGACCCTTAACCACAATCTGCCTGAGCTCCACCTCTGGAGCTAGGATCATAGGCAAAAAATTTATTTTCAATTCTATATTTATTAGAAGCATAATAGTTAAGAAGTTAAGCTCTGGAGTCAGACTGCCTGGATTCAAATCCTGGTTCTACCACTCACTAGATGTGTGATCTTGAATATATACTTGGCCACTCTATGACTCAATTCCCTCTTCTGCAAAATACTATCTTGGGGTATCTCAAGAATTACAGGAAATAATTCTTATAAAATACTTGCACATAGTACTTGTCACGTATCAGCTGTTCAATAAACATTAGCTTCTCAGAGATGGTAGAGAAGTTGAAATTACGAATAATGTACAAAACTAGGATTTCTGAGTTTTCCATGCTTCCTACATCATATACCAAAAAACAAAAAAGAAAAAAAAAGGGTAGAGGCAGTAATATGAAGTCCTCAAAAGGACAATGTTGCATGTAGCTATATTCGTTGAAAAAGAAGCTAAGTAAGAAACTTCGCTTACTGACCACGCACAGTTATGCAGTATGGCACAGGTGCAGTCAAGCAAACAGAAAACCACGAAGCAAAAGGGGAAGAAGGCATTTCCCTTACCTGCTTTTCCGTTTTCGAGGTGGTTTCTCCACTGTGCCAGTCAGTCTACAGACCAAAAAATACGATGGTAACTAAAAGTAACACACGAGAACACATCCCGGGGCCCTACTGTGCCAGTCGAGAACCAAATGTACCAGCCTCTGGGACCACGGGTCGCCATGACCACATCTACAAACACCTTATGCCTTCTTTCCCCTATTTACCAAGACCAAGCAATCCTGGACTCCCAGTTCTAATGCCCTCTTAGTCCAAACCCTGCTGTGCCTTCTGGTCCCTCAGCCCCCATTCGACACAGCCCAGATCCCCAAAACCACCTACCTCCACCGACCTACTCATTGTCTGCCTCGTCAACCCCTCCAGCCCCCCGGCGCCCCCACACCCGCACCTCCCCAGCTTCTCCTTTTCCGTGCCCACCCCCTCCCGACCACGCACGGCCCCTCGGAGCCCCGCCCCTCCCGGCCAGGCGCCCCCCACATTCCACGGCCCCACGGCGGGGCGCGCGCCCTGCCCCTCCCGGCCCAGCGCCCTAGCCTCAGCCCCCGCGCCCCTCTCGCCCCCCGGCGAGGACGCAGTCGCCCCCGCTCCTAGGCGCCCCCAATGCTCCGAGCCTGCACCCTCACTCCTCGGATCTCGGCGCCCCAATGCTCGGCGGCCCCAGTCGCTGCCCCTGGGCCCGTTCCCTCGCCCCCGCCCCAACCCCAAGCCCGGCCTCCACCAGCTCCCCGCCCTCACCTGGGGGCCAGGCGACTCCGCGGCTGCTGGGGCTGCCGGGCTCCTCTGACCATCCGGCTCCTGCTCCGCCGCGGGAGCTGCTCCGGCGGCCGCAGGGCTTGCTCTGGAAGCTGAGGCGGCGGAGGCTGAAGTAGGCGGAGAGGCGGGAGGAGGGCCTCGCGCCTCTGCCAGGCTTGCCGCGGGGTCCGCCCCCTCCGCGCCTCTCTTCGCCTCCCATTGGTTGCAGCCCGAGAATGGACGTAAACTTGGCTGTCGATTGGGTGTTCAGGCCGTCACTTCCCGCGCTGCCCACCTAGAGGTTTGGTTGAGACTGCAGGTGGCGGCAGAGGTGCCTTACAGACTGCTAGCAGGGCCTAAGGAGACCCGAGCGCCACCGTGCGCCAGAACGGGGACACTGCATCTCTGGCGCCAGACACCTGCCCTCAGGTTTCGGTGAGCTTCTGTGTCTGATGTCTCAGACACCTGCTGGCTCCTCCCCACACCTACGCACCATCCCATAACCAAAAGCCAAGCATTGCGGTTTCCCCAAATGCCCCCAGCAGGTGCAAGAACAAAACAACTCTTCCAAATGAGGTTCCTTTTGAACCACCTCGAATGTGGTCCCTATCTGTATCTGAACTCAGTGCTTATCCTTCATGGAGGAATCAGTCCCAAAATGGTAACAATCCACCAAAACAAAGCATGGTTTAGCTGCTCAATCCTATGCAGGAAAGATCACAAACTTAGGTGCAGGCTTTTAAGAAAGCAAGAAAAAAATTTAAATTACTGTGAAAAAAAAAAAACAAACAGCACTGCAAAAAGAATCGATGGAGTAACTAAAAGCAATGTATTCAATTTTGAAAGGCCTAAAAGGAATTGATTCTTCAGTTTGTGGTAACCATTCTGTGACAGTGCAGATGAATGTAAGTACATCAATCAATTTTAAAATTCACTGCATATTTGATAGAGTCAAAGCATGCAAAATGACCAACATATAAACACAATAAATTTAGTTACCTTTCCTCTTCTCTAGCAAGGCCATCCTTCAAAGTGAGGCAGTTTCATAATATAAAATTTTTTTTTAAGTGTAACTACTCTTTACATTTCTGTTTTATGTAGTTATTGTTTTGAAGATCCTTAGCATCTGTTTGGAGTGGGGAGGAGCCATAAAACTTTCTCTTAAACCTCTATTATAACACCCAGCTAGTATACACCAACAACCGGTGGGAACAAATTTCTCACCAATCCCTATAAACGGCAAAAATTAGGATGCTGAAGTTTTCGAAGAACCAAAAGTGTTTAGGATGACAGGCTCTGCTTTATTGAGATAGTTCTGTTTACATCCTTCATGTTAAAATGGCCTTCCCTTTATGAATAGTGATGCTGTAAGCTGTGGTGGGGTTTTTCTTTTGCAGGGCTGGGTATTCTTGGACCTCCCAGCATGCACCTTACCACTGAGTTACATCCTCACTTTGGTCGTGGGATTTTTTAAATGGTTTTGGCAAGAAAAAAGTATTATCAAACTTCTGTTATTGCCGGGCGCTGGTGATGCACGCCTGTAATCCTAGCTACTCAGGAGGCAGAGATCTGGAGGATCTCTGGCAAATAGTTCCTGAGACCCTATCTGGAAAAAATCCCATCACAAAAAGGGCAGGCAGAGTGGCTCAAGTTGAAGGTCCTGAGGTTCAAGCCCCAGTACCAAAAAACAGAACAACAACAAAACACTTCTGTTGTTTCCCCTAAAGTCACAGGACCATAAAACTCCTCAATCATCTTCCCACCCATATAATCAATCCAGTGAGGAGTAACTCTAAAATAATTTGTCAGACAAGAGGAGGGAGGAAGTAAAAGGAGTCCAGAATGAGTAGGATCAACTCACTAGGGATGCAATACTTGAAATGACTATTATTACATTTCTTAAAGTATCAACTAAAATCCTCTTCCTACTTTTCAATGTCTTCCATAATTGGCCCTCTGATACATGGTAGACACTTTGTCAACAGAACTGCAGCTATTCTTACACCGTCCCAAGAAGTACCCTTGTCTTAACTTCCTGTTGTGTCCAAGTTCTAGGAATTGCTGCTTCTGCGCTTTTACTTTGTAACCCATGCACACCCCATCATTTCCAGTCCCTATTGCACTCCCTCTTTTTGAATTTTCCACCCCATTACTCCATCCTACATCAAACATTGCCTTCTCCAAATTCGTTGTACTTACAAAAGCTACACTGTTGGCGATTGTTTCACCTTGGATTCTTACTTCTGAAACACTGAATTTGGGCTGTGTAGCACTGGGGCAGGTACTTGGGTATTTTGTATGTGCTATTTTTAAATTCTGAGATCATCTCTTCATGGTGTTCTCTTATTTTAGATACAGAAGTTAAAAATCAGAGAGTCCAATTTGCTCTGGGTCACACAGCTACAAAAACCATTATTGCTTAGAATAGAAGGCTTAAAGTTGGAGAAGAAAGAGGGGGTCAAGGGAGTATAATAGAACAGGTGAACTTGTGAATAGTACACTGTATGCATGTATGGAATAATCACAATGAAACCCCTTGTACTATTAATATATGCTAATAAAAAAATCTCAAAAAGAATAGGTCTAAGATATACTCCAGCGTGCTTTACAGGGATTCAAGTTCCGGCTCTCTTACAAAACCCTGAACGAGTAACCTATCCTCTTTAAGCCCGTTTCCTCATCTGGTCTGTGTGCGAGGAAGGTAAGATAGCACAGACCCATAGTAAGGGTACCACAAAATAATGCTCAATATCCCTTCCCCATTTATACATAGAGTGTTGACAACCATAGTGGATGCCCAGGCACTGAGTAGAATATTCTATGTAATAAATATTTCTGTTGACACACACAAAAGAACTTATCTGTAAATTCCATGCATTTTTTTGAATTAAGAAAACATGAGTGTTTTGTTTTTTTTTTTCTGGTGCTGGGGACCGAACTCAGGACCTTGCACTTGCCAGGCAAGCGCTCTTCCACTAAGCTAAATCCCCAACCCCTGAGTGTTTTCTTATGAGGGGAAGAAAGGAACATGTTCAGCAACACATGGATAAGGACATAGAAAACTGACTGGGTATCTAGTATGTTCGGCATCATGCTGGGGGACTTTCCAAATAGATTTTTTGGCTCTTTTTTATTGCTGTATGTTTCATCAGCATTATTGCATGCTGGAAATACACAATTGAAAGAGTTGTGATCATCTCACAGAGCATGGTTCTGAGCACTGGATCCAGGTTATAACAATAAATATTGCTTTTAAGGAATTGAAACACTTAGCCCAGAGTCAAATGCAGAAAAGTTCCAGTTTTACCAGTCAAGCAACCACATGAAGGAATAAGCATTGTTTAATTTAAATTATATTATATAAAATGCTAACTTCTTGTCAGGATATACTACAAACTATGCATTAGATAAAATTATTTTTTGACAAACTTCCTATAATGTTTTTATTAATTTACACTGAGGGAATATAGCACCTTTCATCCAGAGAACTGAAGGTGCTTTACAAACATTAGCATTTAAAAAACAATTACATTTTAAAAATCCGGATTCTTGTTAAATTTCTTCAACTCAATACACAATTTTCTGGAAGCTGATGGAAAGCGATTCTATTTTTGATAATGACAGAACCTTAGAAAGAGTCCTGATTTGCTTTCACAATGTAGGCATTTCCCCAAAACCTGGTGCTGGGCTTACATAGCAAAAACACACAAATCTTAATGCAATGAACAGTATTTCACACCTTATTTCAAAAGCAAAACTCAAGTTTTAAGATGTCAAAACTTTCCAACATTTCTAAACATCCAGACAGAAGAGGAGCTGGCGCAAGCTGCTATTAAGATATACTCTTGATCCAGGCTTTTTAGGATCACACCCAAATGAACAACTCAAAGAAGGGAGATTTTTTTTTTTCAGGGAGACGCATTGACCTATAAAAAGCAGCCAAGGGCATATCAGCCCTTGACATGAGGAAAGGGAGGGAATGGCAATTCAAAGAGGACAGTTCTCTCTAGAACCTGGGGCACTTTATTAGAAGCCAAGTATGTCACAGGCAAATAAAAATAGTTCTTACCCCATTAATACGACATAAGGCATTTTACATTCAACCCAGATACAGGGAGTACAGTTCCCCTGCCCTACAAATCTATGACTTGTGAGTGCCTTCCACCACACGATCACTCTGTATAATACACGGTCCTTTTTATTAGTGGGATCCAAATATTCCTTTCAGGCTTACAAAGTCCAATATACTCACTCTCTCTTCCCTTCACACATCCAGTGGTAAAGACTATTTTTTTTCCATGCAAAAAAAGAGCCATTATTCAGTTGAAGAGAAATCAGGTGAAACAGAGATGGCAGTTAAGGAATGGACAGAGTATTATTGGCACGTGCCCAGCTACTGACAAACAAACACACTATACCATGACTCGCAAATAAAAGTCTCATCACAGGGAGAAGGAGACCATCTACATCAACCTAAGCTAAGGAGTGGTGAATGGGAAGGGAGGCCTGAGGGTTACCAGTTTTATTGGTACAACTTAAAAGCAGTGGAGGGAAGTCACTCAAATACAATTTATGGTAACAGAAAAAAATACTGCAGAGAGCTGTTCAAAGACCACACCAAGATGTCTGCATTGTTATATTTCCAGTGTTTCACAATTAGTAAAATACATAGCTACATATTCCTGTGAGATAAAAATACCTTTCCACCTGAATTACACTGGGGTCAGCAGAGTAACCCAAAGCTACTGACCCAACATTAGTTCAAGTGTGTTCAGAAAATATCTCAGCCACTACTTTCACAGAGCAATATAATTAAAAACTGTACAAGGAGCTGGGTGGTTGGGAAAAAATGAATCAAAACAGTATTGTGCTCATTCAGTAAAAGAAACCCTGATGAAAAATTATGTGCCAAGAAGCTTAGACTACAAAGAATTTTATTGCATTTTTAGGTAACCTGGAAGTTCTTATCCTGAAGGGGAAAAGTTGGTTTTCTAAACTACCTGAACAGATGCTAAAGTGCTTTATTCATTGGCTGGCTTCACATGGATTTCCTGGGATGACAAAAATTACTATAGTAGTAAAGGGATACCAAGTATTTCACAAAATGGTACATTCCAGTGTCATTTATGACCACAGTCATAAGAGACACTGGAATATAGTTGCATATCAAGAACTGATCATCACAACCCTTTGGATATTTAAATTGCTTACACAAAGCCAAAATATAGTATCACAGACCCTTGCAAAAAAGGACAGTTTGTTTCTTTCTACACTTTAAATAATGTGCTTCAGATTACAGTTCACAAATACAAGGGTCCCGACTTTTTCACCTTTCCATTTGCAGTTAAAAAATGAACACTTTCTAAAAATTAAGGTCAAGTGTTACAGCAAGAGAAGAATGATTCCTATTGGTAAGTACATATTTTTACCTAATGATACTCATGATAGATTGTAAACTGGATTGATCACATTCTACTCAACTCGTATCAAATGAACATATCAGCATTACAAGTATTAAATGTTTTTCTATTACTACAGAGGATATAAACCAAAATATTAATATGGCAGTTATGTTCTTTAGGCACAGTTTAGTGATTTTTTTTAAAAATAAATACTATTGAATTTCAATTGAAGTTTTAGACTTAATAACCAAAGGATCAAGAACTCTGATTAGGAAAAAAGAAAAAAAAAGAGTTAACTCTAAGCTAACAATGTATGCTGTTTAAAATTTCTATCACTTAACCTATGTGGGTTTTAAGATTACTTTATTAAAAAATACAAGGAATCTGAAAAAAGATCAATACAATTATCTTAATGTACAAAGTCATAAGCTGTAGCAGCTTTTAACTAAAATTTAAAAACACAACAAGGAGGGCAGCCCTTTAGACCAATTTATTTTATATCCTTTTAAAATATCATCAACAAAGGACAACGTTTACAGCTGGGACAGGTACACATAACTTGAGGCATCTGTAGTCCATCGTGCCCACTGAGTAACAACTTTGCTGCTGAAATTTCTTAAAACTTACCAAACTAAAACAAAAGGTTCAATGATACAAAGGAAGAGTATTTCGGTGTAATTGTCAATTGGCTTTTTTAAAAAAGGAAACACATCCTGTCTCCCCAGACCAGTAAACAAGCAAGAGCTACATGCAGCAGTGTGAGTATTAAGACATTTCTCAAGTCTTCTTCAAGTGAGTCCAAGGTGGGGATGGGACGGGTGACAAAATTGATAGAAAAACATTGCTATAGACACCATAACAAACAATAAATTTAGATAATTTAAAATTAAAAAAAAAAAGGCAAGAGGCAGCATTTCAGCAGCAAAGTGCTCAATAAAAAGTATATTGTAGAGGGTAATACAAGAAAGTTGGGGAAAGAAAAGGGCAGAAAAATGGGTCAGCAGGATGGGCGAAGGCCTCAAAGGAAATACGGCGTCGTCGTTCTGGGAGGAATAACACGTTCTGAATCTGGAACTGCCCGGAATAACTTTGGTTCTCTTGTATTGACATCTTTGAAGACCATGATAGAAGCGATATTTCCACAGCGATAGCAGTAGTTAGGAGCAGACCACACTGTGACCAACTTCTCGTCAAACATAAATTTATAGCCTTCATGCACAAGCTGATGTGCTCTGCAGATGAGTTTTAAGTTGTTGATATGAACAAACTGCAATTTAGAAAAGATTTGTTAGTATTACACACAAAAAAAAATCAGCCTACTTATGTGAGAAAATAACAATTGAAATAAAGTAGCAAACATTATTACTAATAAAGTTCTCATGGTTTTAGAACCCATTCTATAATTATCTCCAACAATTTCCAAAAGTTTAGGCAAACAGAAATAGTACAGCCCCATGATTAGATAGAAGTTTCTGAACTGAGCATGACAAGCAGCTCAGTCCTGCAGTCCCAGCTACTTGGAAGGCTAAAACAAGAGGAACATTTGAGCCCACAAATTTGAGACCAGCCTGGGAAACACAGAGACCCCTTCCAAAACAAAAACAAAAACAAAAAAAGAGCAGGGCATGGTGGCACATGCTTATATCTCAGCACTCGGGAAGTACAGGGAGGAGGATCAGGAGAGGTTGAGACCTGGGCCAGCAGAGTGGCTCAAGTGGTAGAGCGCCTGCATAGCAAGCATGAGACCCTGAGTTCAAACCCCAGTACTGTCAAAAAAAAAAAAAAAGAGGTTGAGATAAGCCTGGGCTACACAGCAGACCCTATTTCAAGAAAAAGAAAAAAAGCTGTCATTACTCCAATTTCCTGCATGGTGAGCAAAAAATGTTTCTCCCTTTTTCTCCATTTCTCCCCACTTGTATTGTGTTGTACTCAATTCCTTTCCCAATAAGCTTTATTATTATATTTTTTTACTAGAAAAAAAAAAGAAAGAAAGAAAAAGAAAATAAAGAAGTTGTTTCTGGAAGATAAGCATTCCCTAAGTACTATCAGAATGAAACAAAGGTTGTTATGCATGGTTTAATAATAAAGACATTATTATCAATATGATTCACTGAGGATTTGTTTATGTGCGAGTCTTCAGTAATTCTGAAAGAAATTTATTATCCTCCTTTTGCAATTTGAGGGGAAAAAAATCTCAGACTGGATAAATAGTACCTAAATAAACTTACACCAATAGGACCAGAACCTAGTTCTACGATTCTGTTATGCTGGAGCACTTCCCAATATAATGGCACCCCTCCATGTCTGTGTATGTGTGTGTGTGTGTGTGTATAGTTGTTTGGGGCTTTTTTGTTTGTTTATTTTGTTTGTTTGCTTGTTTTGTTTCTGTTCTTGTTTTCTGCATTGCAAAATCAGGGACTCCTGCATGCTAGGCAAGTACTCTATCACTGAGCTACATTCTCAGCTATGTATGTACCTTTAATTGAACATAGCTAAACTTCAAAAGTTACCTGTCATGCCTTGCTATCTTATTACCTAACTATTATTTTGATCATATTACGAGGTGGATGCTGAATAGGTGCGTTTACTGTATGATCTCATTTAACCAGTAGAGAAAAACATAAACGAATAAACTGAACTACAAATTTGATATCCATACCCACTACAGTTTGAATAAACTAGGCTACAAGTTTGTTAACTGGGGCCACCATAGTTCTTCAAGCAACATTACCTCATTTGTGACCTTTGCTCCAAAAAGCCAACCTGCTCCTCGGGGACTGATTGCCCAAGTATCCACATCTTCAGGGTCTGACCAAACCAAGTCACAAAATGCTCCCTTGTGAGGAATTTCTTGATTCCGTTCAATGGTTCGAATTTGATCCAGTGTTTTGATATCAGGAGATAAGCCACCATGAACACACAAAATCTGCTCATCTATCAACTAATAAAAAAAATAATAAAGGGCTAAATGTGTAATAATAAATTCAGTCATCAATGAGTCAATGAATGCTAAAGATAAATCAATACAATTGAGATGACAATTGGATAAAACCATGCAATGTATTATTGGCAGTCAAATACATGAAGGTAGAAGAAGAGCCTCGTAACTTACAGCTGCTACTGTGAGCATGTCGAAAACTTTGGTACAGTATCTCCAAGCATTAGCATTTCCGTATTTGGTTTGGCACTCATCTGTGAAAGAAACAGAGTTCTCATTAATGAGGTTCTGAATTTGCTGATAAAAATAAACGTTACATCCAATACTAGAACAGCTTTTGGTACAACATACAGCTTTTGGTACAACAGAAAATTCTAAAACATTTATAGACCTAATAGGCCCTCTGGACAGAGCCAAAAGAAGTCTAATATCCTAAGAACACCTGGGCTGGTGGAGTGGCATATGTGGTAAAGCACCTGCCTAGCAAGTGTGAGGCCCTGAGTCCAACACCCAGTACCACCAAAAACAAAACAAAAAAAAGCTAACAACTAAGTACACAGTCCTGCTTTTCACTCCAGGAAAGTAGCCCTAAGAAGTAGCTTGAAATTATTAGCCAAAATGCTCTCATCAAGAAGAGCTAACTAGTAATTTCATACAAGGTAAAGTAAATGCTTTTGTCAATTATGTTAATTCTAGGCAATTCTAGCAAACAGATTCACTTATTTAATGTGACTGCCTTATTCCAGCAGGAATAAGCAAATCAAACAAATTAGAGGACCTTTGATTATAGAAGCATTCCTATCTCAACATTTCTCAGAACTAAAGTGTATCTATTCTGGCATTTTCTGCAAATTGTGCAACTAAACACTCGAGGTCCAGTAAGCACACCTGAAGTCATAACTATGCACAGAATAGCAAAGGCGTTCTCACGTATTCCCAGTTTGACACTCTCTCTTATATACATACTTAATAGGGTACACATCTCTTCTTTCCAGTAATACACGGAAATTCTGCTCTTTGGCATCATTCTTAATATTGGTAAAAAGCAAACAAACAAACAAACTCACATACCACCAATTGCCTTAAGTGTAGCTAAAAGTGATACTGGAAAGAAGACTGTAGTTTATTTTTAGTTTTATTTTAACAGAACTGGGTTTAAACCCAGGGCTTCGCACACACTATGCAGACGCCCTACTCCTTGAGACGCTCCACCAAACAGGAATGTTGTAATTTTAGTTTTCACACAGGCAAAGCTCTAGGTTCACAAAACTTCCCAGTATATGTTTACTAGTGTGAACTGAGCAATCGATAATTAACAGCCATATATGGCTTTAAATCAATGTAAGTCACATGATAACTAAAATTATCTATTGGGCTTCCTGTTATTAAACAAAACCATAAAACCCACTAGTGTTTGAATACAGCTCTAGAAACAAGAAAGTTCCAAGACCAAATACTGCACTGTTGTCATTTTCTTTAGTCAAAACATATTGACTAAAACATCCTCAAGAGGCCCTGAGTTCAACCCTAAGTACCAACAAAAAAGTCCTCCTCCTCCCTTGTTTTTCCTTTTGCTCTACATTGCTCAAATGGTGATACATGTTTATACACACACATAATTCATTTCACATATATACCATTAGTCTCTTATATATAGACTTTGATCATCTCTAATCTGAAATGCTGCACAATTTGAAATATTTAAGCATCGACATGATCCAACCAGTGAAAAAATCTACACCTGACCTCATGTGATCAAACAGAAACACATTAAAAATAAAGGTTGAGGCTGGGGACTTGGCTCAAGTAGCAGAGTGCTTGCCTAGCAAGCATAATAAGGTCCTAAGTACACACCCCAGTACCATCAAAAAAAACAAAACCCCAAAAAAACCTTGAAATGTATAGTAAGTTATATATGAGTCTTAGATGTTATATATATATATATAATATTTTGTATAACACTATATGTGCTTGTCACAGTCAAGCACTGCCAACATTCCATCAATGATGGACCACATATAAGATTATATCACCAACTTAGTCTGTAGCCAATTAAACTTCTGTAAATAAACTCTATGATGTCCACACAACAATGAAATCACCTAATGATACATATTTAAGAATTTAGTGCCAGATGCCGGTGGTTCATGCCTAACCAGGCAGAGATCAGGAAGATCAGGGTTGTAAGTCAGCTGGGGCAAATACCTCTCGGGACCCTATCTCAAAAAACACCCAACCAAAAAAGGGCTGGTGGAGTGACTCAAGTGGTAGAGCACCTGCCTAGAAAGTATAAGGTCCTGAATTCAAACCCCAGTTACTAGCTACCACCATGCACCCCCCCAAAAAAAGAATTTATATTGTGCTGCTTTACTGAACTGTCAGCACAGTATACTGTGTAAACACTGAGTGTCTGCAAGAGTTAGAAGCATTGCTAGGCATAGTCCTGCACACCTCAGCACTCAGAAGGCAGAGAGGTAGGGATCAAAAGTTTGAGGTCAGCATGGGCTACATAGCAAGTTCAAGGCCGGCTTAAGTAACAAATCGAGATGATATCTCAAAAAAAACCAAGGGCTAGGAGTTATGTGACTCAGTGGCAGAGTACTAGACTAGTATGCACAAGGCTCTGGGTTTGATTTCCAGACTTACGAAAGACAAATATCAAACTTCTGGGGCTCGTGGAGTGGCTCAAGTGGTAGAGCACCTGCCTAGCAAGCATGAGGTCCTGAGTTCAAACTCCAGTACTACCAAAAAAAGGGGAGGAAATCAAACCTTGTATTTCAAATGGCATTTGATATTTTGTGAATGAAAAATAAGACATAACTTATAGAAAGGAGGTAAATATTAATCATGTAACCTAACAATTGTCAATAAACATATAAAAATAACAAAATTATCAAAATTTCTCAATTCAGTAATTGACAATGACAGACAAATTGAAGAGGAAGAGTTTACCCTATGTTTATGGTAACAATAGATAATTCAAAATATAAAATCTAAAATTGAAGTTCTGAAGTTAATATTTTCAAATTTCTCAATATGTCTTAATTGTGCTCAAGGAACAATTAAATACACAATCTCAATAGTCCTATTGTCTATCTCTTTCAAGGAATTTCCTAAAAAGCTTTTTTTTTAACTTCAGTGATGGGCATCAAAACCAGGGCCTTCTGCACGCTAGATGAGCATTGCACCACTGAGCTACACCCCCAATCTCTTTTCTACTTTCTTTTGTTTTTGTGAGACAGGGTCTCACTATGTGGCCAGCCTGGAATTTTCCATCCTCCTGCCTTAGCCTCCAAAGTGCTATAAATAAAGGTATGCACCACCACACGCAACTTAAAAACAACTCAATGTCCAATGATAAAAGGACAGTTAAATCAATTATGGTGCATCCATTCAATCTAGTATGATATAGCCATAAAAATAACACAAGGAACTATATGTAATGTTGCATGCCTATAATCCCAGCATTCTGGATGCTGAAGCAGGAAGACTATAGCCTGCTAGCCCATGCTACACAGTCAGAACCTATCTCAAAAAAATTTTTAAAAAGCCGGGAACCAGTAACTCATGCCTGTAATCCAAGCCTACTCAGGAGGCAGAGATCAGGAGGCTCACAGGTCAAAGCAAGCCCAGGCAAATAGTTCATGAGACCCTATCTCAAAAAAACCCATTACACAAAAGGGCTGGTGGAGTGGCTCAAGGTGAAGGTCCTGAGTTTAAGTCCCAATACAGAAAAAAAAAAAATCAAAAAACAGCTCGAAGTGGTGTCTCATGCCTGTAATCCTAGCTACGTGGGAGGCTGAGATCAGGATCATCAAGGTCCAAGGCCAGCCCTGGCAAACAATTCACGAGACTCCATCTCCAAAATAACCAGAGCAAAATGGGCTGGAGACGTGATTCAAGTGGTAGAGTACTTATTTTGCCAGTGTCTGCCTTCCTAGCATGAAGGAACATGCTTCCTTCAACATGAGTTCAAACATGTCCCAACACAAAAAGAAAGAAAAAAAGCAGGTATAATTCCATGTCTGTCTTCATGTATATGTGTACATATGCACGCACACACACTTGCACACACACACAAAACAGAATGACCTCTCAAACTTGAATGAAGTCACTTTCAGTAGATTTTAGGGTCCCCCCCACAACATTCTGATTATGAGATTTGAGTAGAGCATAGCAATCTACATTTGTAACAAGCACTTGGGACCCAGGTGATTCCAATGAGGCACACTGACGATTACTCTGCTGCACTGATTTAAAAAGATGTACAGCAAAAAGTTAACAGTGGTGTGTCTGTCTCTCTCTGGTAGATTTTCAGTTGACTGGGAGAAATGGAATATGGAAGCAGCTGGGCATGGTGATGCAGAACTGTTATACCAGAACTCAGGAGGTCAACACATGATGACTGTGAGCGCCAGGCCAGCCGTGTCTCAAAAACAGAACAAACCCCAAAACAAATATACAAATATAAAGCCCTTATATGACTTATGTGTGACTTTTTTTTTTCAAAATGAAAGTAAATAATATTCAGAATCAGAAAAACAGGTCTTACCATAAAATCCATACACCTGTGTTATCTGTCTACTCTCATGATTTCCTCGTAAAAGTGTAATACGATCAGGCCATTTAGCCTTTAGTGCAAGAAGGTAAGTGAAGGTCTCCAAACTATAGTAACCTCTGTCTACAAAATCACCCTGTAAAATAAAAGTTTACAGTTACAAACAATATAATAGCTATAATAGACTTTTGGGGAGAGGTTTTTTTTTTTTTTGGTCTTTTCTTTTTTGGAGCTGGGATCGAACCCAGGACCTCATGCATGCTAGGCAAGCGCTGTACCACCGAGCTACATCCCAGCCCAATAGCTATAATAGACTTTTAAAATTACATCAAAGTGTACAAACTCAGAGACATAGCCCAAAAGAATAATAATAAAGAGTTACATATTAAATTATTTGGAAATTGAGTTTTAACAAAAAATTAAAATGGAAGTAAAGAAACTGTTTTCCTAGCATGTGCCGGTGGCTCACACCTGTAATTCTAGCTACTCAGAAGACAGAGATCAGGAGGACTGAAGTTGGGAAACAGCCCAGGCAAATAGTTTATGAGACCCTATCTGGAAAAAACATCACAAAAAGTGCTGGTGGAGTGGCTCAAGATGTAGGCCCTGAGTTCAAATCCCCGTGCTGCCAAAAGAAAAAAAGAAACTGTTTTCCTAAATGTTTATACTGCGTTTATGATTCAGAAGAGGTCTCAGGATCTGCTATACAATTTTCTCAATGACTATCCCAGCAAAACTACCACTTTCCAATCCTATCATTAGATATTAGTAAAAGGTCATGTGTGAATCAAAATTTTTTCTAATACTAAATTTTACAAATTATTTAACTGTATCAGAAGAGCTGCCTACTTAAAAAGGTGTTTGTCAAGGCAAGTATCAAAACCATAACAACATTCTAGGTTCAGCTTTAACAACACCATGAGACCACATGCTGTTTACACTTCCCATTAATGTTTGACATAGACCAATATTATATCAATAGGAAACAGTTAAAAGAATAGGAAGGTGAGCCAGAAACTTGCAGAAGAAATAATGATAAAAGGATTCAGAAAAAGGTCAACAGTAACATTACATTCCAAAAAGAAATTAAGCAAACATCCACCATAATAGCAGATGTGTATTAAGGGGAAGAAAGGAACACAAAACAATATACCTGTGTATATTATATTCACCTACCCATAGATTAGTAAGAGATCAAAATGAATGCTCAAATAGCATGATGAAATAGCAGTAAACTGAAGGTTTATGGCTTAAACCAGTTGTTCTATGCTCTTTTTCTGCCATTAGTGACAGTTACAACCCAGTTCTATTTGTACAGGTGTTTATTAATGCAATTATTTCAATATAGAGGACATGAAAAAAATGGAGAAAAGAATGGACTCATCTTTTCATATGTTAAAGTAGCAACTGTTATATGGAAATAAAACTTATTACAATTTACATGTAATAAGTCAGATTCTTTCAATGTTAAATAAACACTTAATATTACCAGGGTTTACATACCATAAATATGTAGTTTGTGTCAGGAACCTGACCTCCAGTTCTGAATAGCTCACAAAGGTCATAAAACTATAAAAGAAAGGCAATATAAGCTGATTAAAAATTCCTGCTAAGGAGTAAAATAATAAAGCAAAATAGGTAAAAAAAAATCAGTATTAAAAGTCCTCCTCATATGTACATTTGTTAGAAGAAATAAATTATAAACAAAACTGCCAAATACATAGTTCCCAAGCCACCAAGAGCACTGACCACAGCGCAGTCACCATGAAGTCATACTTACATCATTTATGTTGTAGGCTCCCCCTCAAATTTCTTTTGCACATCTTCTCATCTATTGAGAATTTTGAAATCACTTATCTAACTTCTCAATAAGTTAATTTAGCCATCCTGCCAATAGTCAGCATTCATTTTAATGAGACAAAAGATAAGGAAATGAGTAAGAATTTTTTCAAGGGGTGGGGGCTGATGGTTTATTTTTGCAGTGCCTGGGATAGAATCCATAGCTCTGAGCATGTTAGGCAAGCACTCATCATACAGCAACATCTACCACTCCAGAATTTTTTTCAGAATATGAATTTACATGACACATCACAGTGTCATACACAACAGTGGAACTAACTTCCATACTCTTCTGTTGGCTTCACGGTCATGGAGTGTCTTCTCAACAACCAATAAAAAAAAAAAACTATACATTTCATCCTATTTTATTTGTCTGAAAATTGGTAACTGACAAAATGTACATTTGGTAAACTTTAGTCAACTAGATTATCCTAATCCTAATTTCTAAAGAAAACGGCTGTTTTTCTGAAGAAAAAGATTTGGATTAAGTAATTGACTATAACACATTTACTATAATACAAGTACAAGTAACAATTTCCAACACATTCATCTTTTATACTTGAAAAAAGCTACTACTTAAACTTCTAACATTTAAAATGGTACAGAAATCCCAGATCACAGTTAACAAAACTGTATTTAAACGTTCAATGTTTAAATGATTAAATAAATAAAAAACTTCTATACACTATTATAATGATAGGGTAACATGATTTATTACAATCTCACCATCCAGAAAAGAACTTAGAAAAGGAATAACCTTTTAAGTAGCCAAAGGACTTTACAGAATAGCCCTTAATCGGGGCCAATTTAAACACATATCTGCTCCCTTAAGCAGTCACGTTTAAAGCAGGGAAATTGTATAGACAGTAAGTCCTGCTGGCATTTATCTATACTACATGGTTCACAATAGATTCTAGGTCTTATAACTTGACTATATTTCATTAATATAAAAAGCTATCAATGATTTGTTCAGCTATTGTTTCCCGGTGAAAAAATTCTACAAATACATATAAGGTTTCCAACTGGGCTGAACACTGACAGTAGAATCAGGCACTGCTATAAATTCTGATAAACAAATAAAAACCTGGCAGAAGGAAAAAATGAACTCTTTTTCATCTATCAGTGACTTGATGTAAAACCATATACCAACAATTTTATTTTTTGAGCTGTTTCTATTCTCATTCCCACTAAGGAAATGATAAAATTTCAATATATGATAGGAATACAATAAATAGGGGGAAAGTTCCAAAATCAAATTATCTCCTAATCATAATTACCATGAGCAGTCCATGTTTGTATTTTATGTCTTCTATCCCCACCAAAAACCCCCACCATTTCACAGAACAATTATGCAGCATTCTATGCACTTCACAAATACAATTTGAATAAAATCCATGAATTATTTGTCCACTGCTTTTATTTACCTGCATAGTAAACCAGAATCATTAATATCTCAAACACTGATGCAACTTAACCATCAGCTGGGTTTTGTGTTTCTGTTTGTTTTTTAATTTTACATCATGGCTCATATACAGTACAAAACCTAAAAATCCTTCATTAAATTTTAAGTTTTACCTGTCCGTGTATGTCCCCACACACTGTAACTGGTGTTGATACTGGCTGAACATTGGACTCTTCCAACAGAAGGTCACAAACATAGTCACATAGCCGCTGAAAGAACAGAAAATAAACTGTTAGTGCAATATTAAAGGTAAGACTCAAGCACAAAAAAATATGACTAAGGATACTTTTTTTTTTTTTTTTTTTTTTTTGCAATGCTGGGGCTTGATATCAGAGCTTTATGCTTGCTTGAGCCACATCTCTAGTCCATTTTGTTCTGGGCCTCAAACTGCAATCCTCCCGATCTCAGCCTCCCAAGTAGCTGGGATTACAGGCTCGAGCTACTGGCATACGTTTTGACAGGAAAGAAAACTACCCTTTGGAGGCTTCTTAAAAATCTAAACATAGATATACCATATGATCCAGCAATACCACTCTTGGGGATATACCCAAAAGAATGTGACTCAGGTTACTCCAGAGGCACCTGCACACCCATGTTTATTGCAGTACTATTCACAATAGCCAAGTTATGGAAACAGCCAAGATGCCCCACTACTGATGAATGGTCAAGAAAATGTGGTATTTATACACAATGGAATTTTATGCAGCCACGAAGAAGAATGAAATGTTATCATTTGCAGGTAAATGGATGAACATCACTCTGAGTGAGGTTAGCCTGGCCCAAAAGACCAAAAATCTTATGTTCTTCCTCATATGTGGACATTAGTTCAAGGGCAAACATAACAAGGGGATTGGACTTTGATCACATGATAAAGCGAGAGCACACAAGGGAGGTATGAAGATAGGTAAGACACCCAAAAACCTAGATAGCATTTGTTGTTGCCCTTAACGCAGAGAAACTAATGCAGATATTTTAAAGTGACTGAGGCCAATAGGAGAAGGGGACCAGGAACTACAGAAAAGGTTAGTTCAAGAAGAATTAACTTAGAAGGTAACACACATGTACAGGAAAGCAATACGAGCCAACTCCCTATATAGTTATCCTTATCTCAACTAGCAAAAACCCTTGTTCCTTCCTATTATTGCTATATTCTCTCTTCAACAAAATTAGAGATAAGGGCAAAAATAGTTTCTGCCTGGTAGCAAGGCGTGAGACAGGGTGTTGCTAAACTGCTCCTTCTGGCATGAAACTTACGATCATCCTGCCTCAGCCTCCCTAAGTAACTGACATGTGCAACTGCCTGTGTCCAGTAAAAGGCTTAAATCGTGTGTTCTTAAATTGGCTAATTAAGAAGTAAATTGTAAGCCAAGCACCAGTGGCTCATGCCTGTAATCCCAGCTTCTCCAGAGGAGGCAAAGATCAGGAGGATCCCTGTTCAAACCCAGCCTGAGAAAGCCTACCTCGAAAACACCCAACACAAAAAAGGGCAAGTGGAGTGAATCAAGTGGTAGAGTGCTGCCTAGCAAGTGTTAGGCCTTGAGTTCAAACCCTAGTACTGCCAAAAAATAAAAAGTAAATTGTAAACCACGTACTTACATATGAACCAAGAACTGCACATTTTGCAATAAAAAGTTATGTTCACATAACTATATGTAGAAAACTACTCAGCTTTAATAAAAAAGAAATGAACTACTATCACATAACAACCCAAATTAATTTTAAGGAATTTATGCTGAGTGGAGAAAAAAAAAAAACCTATCCTAAACATACTATATGATTTCATTTACATAACATTGTTTAAATGACAAAACTACAGAAATGGAAAAGAGATTACTGGTGTCCAGGGGTCCATGAGTTAGGAGGAGAAGCACAAAGGAAGCCCATAAAATGACAACATGAGGAATTCTCCTTGTGATGGAACTATTGTGCATCTGGAATGTAGTGTTGCATGAGAACCTACAAATGTAGCAAAATTACACAGAACTACACACACACACACACACACACACACATGCATGAATACAACTACAGAAACCTGAAGATCATGGATTATATCAATGTCAATATCCAGGTTGAGGTACTGTACTATAGTTCTACAAAATATTACTTCCGGGGGAAAAAAAGTGGGTAAATGATAAATATGATCTCTCTGTATTAATTCTTTTTAAATTTATTTTTAAATTTTTTGTGGTACTGGGATCTGAACTCAGGGCCTCACACTTGCTAAGCAGGCATTTTACCACTTAAGCCACTCTGCCAGCCCTCTGTATATTACTTCTTAGAACTGCATGCAAATCCACAATTATTTCAAAATAAAACGTTATCTATAATTAATTATAAAATGGAAGTCACTTCACTTTTTAGAAAGAACTCTAAGGCTGGAGGCATGGTTCAAGCAGTAGAGTGCTTGCTATGTGCAAAGTCCCTGAGTTTAAACCTCAGTACTGCCAAACAAAAAATAGGTAACAATAATAATAAAAGAACTCTATAAATGTTTGCATTTTAAAATATTGGTCCTCTGGGCCAGTGGTAGAGTGCATGCCTAGCAAGCACAAGGCCCTGAGTTCAAACTTTACTACCACCATCTAAAAAAGAAGGGAGGGAAGGAGGGAGGGTGGGAGGGAGGAAGGAAGGAAGGAAGGAAGGAGGGAAATTTTTCTTTCATCTAAACCAGTTTGTGGGCTAAGGGTATGGCTCAAGTGGTAGTACAGCAGGGAGGAGGACCAGAAGAGAAACAGACAGGCTGTGTTCTGATAATGAGGCGGGGGAAGGAATGGCAAAGCAGAGAGATAAAACTTGAAGAACTGAAACATGAAGAAGGTCACATAGCACTGGGAAAACGAAGTAGCCAATGAAGTCACATGCAGCCATATGTGGGTTGAGCTTTGCTTTTTGCTTCTGTAACCTGCTTGCAAAGGTATATAAGGTGAGACCTCTTTGTTTTTGGGGCTCAGCCTCTGGACATGAGTCCGTCCGCTGGGTCTATGCCAGCACAATAAAAAGTTGCTTCCTGCTAAACTGCTTCAGTGTCCCGTATCTCAGCCTGAAATTCCCGCAACAGTAGAGCACCTGCCTAGCAAGAATGAGGCCCTGAGTTCAAAAACCCAAATACTGCCAAACAAAAGAAAAAAGGAGCAGGGAAGATGATGGGGAATAGAGCTGTTTTTTCTTACAAATGAGACAACAAAATAGAACACTTTGGGGGGAAGAGGTGGCCCATATAATGTACACACATGTGAGTAAATGTAAAAATGATGAAAGAAATAACAAATAGAACACTTCAAAATCAAATGGCTTGTTCTTATTCCGATTATACAATCTTGATCTTAAAATAACACCTCAAAGACAGGTGTCCTGGTATCCTTCTGGCCTGGAGTTCCATTAACTCCAGATGCTTCAGCAAGCTAACTCATATTCCTACCATAAAATACATCCATCATTCATAACACCAACAGACACTGGTGAATGAAGAAATGTTTCTGAACTCTGAGCCTGACTTTTATAGTGAAAGAAGGTATCCCAAAGTTCTTCAGTTATAAAATTCTGGTTTGCAGTCGTTCTACCACTTGAGCCACAACTTCAGACCATTTTGCTCTGTTTATTTTGGAGATAGGGTCTTGTGAAGTATTTGACCAGGCTGGCTGTTCTTGAACCACAATCCTCCTGATCTCAGCCTCCCAAGTAACTAGGATTACAGGCCTGAGCTGACGAGACTTCATTTTGTTTTTAGAACAGTTTTAGGTTATCAGCAAAACTGGGCAGAAAGTAGAGTTTCCACATATGTTCTGCCTCTAGACACTCACTTCCCCCACTATCAATATCCTACATGTGGGGTTGGGGAATTAGCTCAGTGAACAGTGCTTGCCTGGCAAGTGCAAGGCCCTGAGTTCAGTCCTCAGCATGGGAGGAGGGGGTGGGGTGTGCATGTAATATGTTGTGTGTGTGTGTGTGTGTGTGTGTGTGTGTGTGTGTATCCTACATGTAAGTGATACATTTGTTACAACTGATAAATTTACGCTGATACATCATTATGACTCAAAGTTTATAGTTTGTTTTGCTGTTGGTATACATTCTATAAGTTTTCAAAAATGTACAATGACATACATCCCCCCATTATAGTACCTGCAGAGTGCTTCCATTACCCCAAAAATCCTGTTTCACCTATTCATCCTTGCCTTCCTTCAACTCCTGGAAACCACTAATCTTTTTACTGTTTGCATAGTTTTACCTTTTCCAGAACATCATATAGTTGCAATCACACCTATGTAGCCTTTTTAGGTTGGCTTATTTTATCTAGTTATATGCATTGAAGATACCTCATATCTTTTCATAGCTTAATAGCTCATTTCTTTTAGGCACTGAATAATATCCCATTGTCTGGATGAACCACAATTTGTTCATCCATTCATCTACTGAAGGCCATCTTGGTTGGTTTTAAGCTTTGGCAAATAGGAACAAAGCTGTTGTAAGCATCTGTTTGTAGGTTTTTTTGCATGAAGAAAAAAATTTCAACTCGTTTTAGTAAATACCAAGGAGTGGAATTGCTGGATCATATGGGAAGAGTATTTTTAGTTTTGTCAGAAACTTTCAAACTTTGGAAAGAAGCTGCACCATTTTGCATTCCCATCTGCAATGAGTGAGAATTCCTATAGCTCCACAACTTCATCAGCATTTTAAGAGTTCTTTGTTATTTTGGATATAAGTCCTTCATCAGATACATCTTTTGCAAATGTATTTTCCCAGTCTGTAGCTTATTATCTCAATCTCTGGATCATTCACATAGCAACAGTCTTTAATTTTCATGAACTTCAGAGCCTATCAGCTACTTCTTTCATGAGTGGATTGCTTTAATTTATTTGGATTTGGTTTGCAGGATAGGAGACCAGGAATATGATTCCTTTCTTAAAAACTTTACTGATATGGCTGGGTGCCAGGGGCTCACACCTATAATCCTAGCTACTTGGATGGCTGAATAGGAGCACAGAGGTTTTCGGACAGCCCAGGCAAATGGTTTGCAAGACCCCATCGCCAAAATAACAAGAGTGAAATGGACTGGAGGTGTGGCTCATGTGGTAGAGCACCTCCTTTGCTAGTGTGAAACCCGGAGTTCAAATTTCAGTCTCGCCCCAAACAAACAAACAAACAAAAAACTTAATTGACATATAATTCACATACCATAAAATTCAACCCTTTCAGTGTAAAATTCAGT